TTCTAATTCATCGACCTTGCATTGCTTTCGTATCCTTGCAGCCAATGCGCCGTCAGGAGAGAGCAGAATCATTCCGGTACGCTTGCCATCATCCGCAACATTGCCGACTTGACCATCATCGTCAGACTGAAGACACCAGAAAATACATGATATTTCATCATGTTCTGGGTCAGGCGCGAGGTCGCCTCTGGAGTTGACGTGAACTTCCAAACTCATGGTTGACATGTATTGTGTCTCATGTTGGACGCTGGTAGAGCTCTTTCTTTGCGAGAACTTGAAGCCGTGCTTATTCTTTTGTGTTGGGCCGTCGATTTGGGACAGATCATGAGCGATATGATTCTTTTTCTTGACCTGACTGGAAGGACTGTCCACCTCCGGTCCGCCTTGGTCATCGGTCTCCGCAGAACGGTCTTGCTTGAGCCACTCCTCAACTTCCGCGTAAGAGGGAGGACGTGCAGTAACTTCCCACCGCTTGATAGTACATTGCTTTCTTCGGCGCTGGCGTGCAAGATCTATAACGGTCTTGTTGAGGACGATAGGTTGCCTCTGTCCTTCGGATGCTAGAGATTCACCGGTGGCGTCGAAATCTGGCAGATATGGGATTGTGTTGCTTTCGAGCTTGAACTCCTGCCCAGCATACTCTCTTGCCCGGTCCGGCACATCTTCTTCATTGCTGTAATAAGCGTTCTGATATATTACTGGTGGTCGATCTTCGTCGGTCATAGTTGCAACGACCTCGGAAGAAGTAGGTGGCATTTGACCAAAGACAAGCACTTTCTTCTTTGGAAAATATTTAGTGTACTTGTCAGCACATTTGCGCATCTTTGTAGGGATAGCTTGGGCTTTGCTTGGAGTATTGGCATTCGTTGAGGTGGTGTTTGTCCAAGGAGTGCGTGGCGAGGTCTGCGAGCTACGGAATTGACTCGACTTATGTGGTGTTATAGGTTTCCGCTGACCAGGTAAATCATTTCGTTGACTCAAACGTAACTTCGTATCTGGATCATGGGGATTCTTAACAACCGGAAAAGAAAATGCGAAATTTCGACTCGGCGGCATTTGACTGGGAGAATCTTGGTTAGAGGCTGGTGGTAGATTTTGTGATAATTGCTGATCCTCGATAATGTCCGAGTCGAGCGCATTGAGCAGCTGGTCACCTTTGGTGAGATCCTTCACTCTGGGCTTGGGCCTAAAAGGAGGTCTCATTACCCTGTCGGCTGTACTTGGTGTGAAGCCGACAACTTTGCGGCGTTTCATGGGAGTCACATCGTCAGTGACCGCTCGCTTCGTAGCACCCCCATACTCGATAGCATCTATTGTTTGTTGCGGTACCTTGGCGTCGTCAATCTTAGATTCGCTTTCGGAAGGATTCTGAATGGCAGTCGCATTGCGAAGGGGAATATCATGAGGATCCACAAAAGATAGGCCATAGTCAATCCCATCCGGGGGAGCCTCGTCAGTATCAATGTCTCGGCGTGCGTGAAAGTTGACTTGTCCGCCAGTAGTTGGCTCCTTATAGTGTAAAGGACTTTCCTTGAGTGTGTTGGCCCGAACCTCAAGCCCTTTCCATTTCTTTGGGATGATGTTATGGTTTTTGGCTGATTTGGTTTCTTGGATTTGAGTAAAGCTCTCTGTCAAAACCCTCGCCTCCTCTTCATCGTCCGAGTGATCGCGGTGCTCATCTTCTTTCTTGACTTCCAGAATGCCAGACCCGTCAATGAAAGCAGGCTCGCGTCCGAAGCCCTGATCAAACACGTCGTCCGGGGGTGTCGCAAGATGACCACTTAATGGGTTTCGGAGATTCTCGAGAAAGAGTTCCTCAATGCTCTCAAAAGTGGTCTGGACTGGAAAGGGTTCGGGCACAGGCTTGACAAAGGAATCAAAGTCGAGCGAATGACCTTCATTTTCACGCTCATTCTTGACAAGCTCCTCGATTGTCTGCCTAAACTCTTCCTCGTGGATCCAGCCTCCTTTGTCGACATTACGTGAATCGGCAGACATGCTGACCAGCACCTCAGGAGGGAAAGGGCTGCTGCCCGGGTCTGACATGCCCATCTGCCGTTTCCGACGTTTCGTCTCATCCTTCCAGAGACCAGCCATAGAGGGAACCAACTTTTCTTCTGGGGCTAGATGTTGGAAGCGTTCGATAAAGTCCTGATGCAAGTGCCTTTGCTCAATATCATGTCGGTTGAGAATATCCTCGACGCAGATATCTAGCTCCAGACTACAGTGACTTTGTCGTGGAAAAGCATCTGCATCGAGGATTTGAGAGTCGGGGATTGACTTGTCATGCCATTTGTGGACAGCACTTTCCAGATCCATGTAATCAGGAACGGGTGTACGAAAGTGAGGCTTGTCGGTCTCGATATAAGTGCAACCGTACAGATTAAAGTCGCACATCCATTGAGGCACGTATTCGAGGTGCCTCTCGTAGGGCTGAAAGATGCGCTTCATGATTGCGCCTTGAAGAAGTAGATCGGCCAGACGAGTTTTGTGCACTGGGTTGAGGAGATAGACTTTGAGAAAGTATTTGTAGCCGACGGTATATCCGAAGAAAGGTACGCCTTTGACAATACTGATATATGCGACATAATTAGAACGGCCATCATAGGGATCTCTCCTATACGAGAGGGCCAAGGCATGATCGATTGATAACTTGAGGTTGGCAATATTTCTATCAACTTCTCCACGGCTGAGACTTCCATTGTACTCTACGTAGAGATATGGAAAAGCTCCATGGATGTGCATGCACACTTTCTGGCCAGTCTCGGTGGCGCCGAAGACGCGTATGATTGGGATTTGTGGAAGGTTTTGTTTCCTTTTCTGGGTCGAAGAAGAAGTGTTTCCCCACAATGGCGGATCGAGTTCTCCAGGAGTGGTTTGGTAAGTGTCGACGCAATTAAGGCGGACGCGAAAAGTGTCCCTCATCCTGCCGGGGGGTAGTGACCAAAAACTTAAATAGCCATCAGGTTTCATGTTAAAATAGACTGCAGCATCTGTATCGGGTTGAGACTGGATAAGATGCGTTTCAATTTGATGATATTGCGCGTGAAACAAAAGGATAAACATAGCATGCATAGACGCGACACGCGAGAAGGCGAAAGTGGTTCTTGTTACAGGTGGAGATGAAAGTCTTGGCGATACGGCAAAACCTTCCCCGCAAAAAGGCGGCCGGTTGCGAGGATGATTCAGGTATGATTGGGAGCTTTCGTCAAACGGTGATTAGATTATTATAGGACGATAGAAATTAGATTCATCTTCTACCTCGTCACTCACCCATCGATACACCATCACACATCACAAGACGACAAAATGCCACCACCAGGGCCACCCAAGAAACCAACAGAACCGCAACAAAAGAACGAGCGCAACGAGTACATTCCATCTTTCATCTCCAAGAAACCCTTTTATATCGACGACGCCACTGCAACAGACGATGATTACCTCGAGCATCAACGTCTACAAAACCGCAAAGATGACCCGCTCGCCACATCCAAATGGTACTCGCGAGGACAGCGCGCAGGTCCGGCAGCCACCAGATACCGCAAAGGCGCCTGCGAGAACTGCGGAGCAATGACACACAAAGCAAAGGACTGTCTATACAAGCCGAGAAAGCTGGGTGCGAAATGGACAGGCAAGGACATTCAGGCAGACGAGCTCGTTCAAGACGTCAAGCTCGGATGGGACGCCAAGCGCGATCGCTGGAATGGTTATGATGCGAAAGAATACGATCAAGTCATTGAAGAATACAATGCGCTGGAAGAGTTGAAGAAGCAGGCCACGGGCAAACAAAAACAATTAGAAGATGGTGACGAGGGGGAAGATGGTGATGAAGAGGGCGCGAGATACGAGGAAGAGACGGACATGGGCCGCCATCAGTCCACATCAACAAGAAACTTGCGATTACGAGAGGACACGGCCAAATATCTTGTCGATCTAGATCTGGACTCTGCAAAATACGATCCAAAGACGCGTTCTATGATAGATGAAGCCCCGGCAGACGACGCCGAAGAAGGTTTTGCTCGCGCTTCAGGCGATGCCGCCGAGTTCGAACGAGCCCAGCGGTATGCCTGGGAAGGAGCAGAAAAGACGGGTTCAAAAGCTTCAAATATCCATCTCCAAGCAAATCCAACCCAAGCACAATTCCTTCGGAAAAAGGAGCTGGAAGAATCAAACGCCAAAAAAGAAGCACGCCGAAAAGCCTTACTGGAGAAATACGGTGGTCAAGAACATCTGGTGCGCGACCCACTCAAGGACACTGCTGTCACCGAAAATGAACGTTATGTCGAGTACGACGAGCGTGGAAAGATCAAGGGTGAGCCAGAGAAGAAGGAGAAGAGCATGTATGCCGAAGACGTCCTTATCAACAACCACACTTCCGTCTGGGGCAGTTGGTGGAAGAATTTCCAATGGGGTTACGCGTGTTGTCATTCGACAATGAAAGCCAGTTACTGCACAGGCGAGGAAGGAAGGCGAGTCGCTGACCAAGCCGAGCGTTTCTCTCGTGGTATTGATTTGGGCCCCAGCAAAGAAGAAGCCGAGGCAGACTCTGTAGAGGTGCCGAAGGAGATTGCATGGAGAGAGGAAGAGCAGCAGGAAAAGCATATTCCCAATGCTGCTGATCTACCGCCACAGGAGCAAGACCTGGACTCTGACAATCGAAAACGCAAGCTCGATGAGATGAAGGCCGGTGTGACGGAAGAGGAAATGGAAGAATACAGGAGGAAGAGGATAGCCGCTAATGATCCCATGGCTAATTTGCTGGGCAAAGATGACCTGATGGAATATGGAGGCACGACCAAGGATGGTGAGTTGAGTTGAGTTGATTGTTGATAGCATCCATATCCGAGAATAATATACCGGAAGTTGGTATCAATCTCTGTCTACCCTCTCCTCTACTCTCTATCGTTGGCGTTTTCACCTGTCTGCATGATCCCGATCAGTACTCCTGCTTCTCTATCTACATATTCCTCCTTATTCCTTGCCACTCAATCAATAAGCCAGTCCTACTGGCGCAATCGGTAGCGCGTAAGTATATCCTCTATCCAGTCTTGAACTTCATATCTTCCTAACACAATTCACAGGTATGACTTCTAATCATAAGGTTGCAAGTTCGAGCCTTGCGTAGGACTATCTTTTTGGTCCTCTTCTTCTCTAGCTCTGCATGTTGTCTGTGCTTTCCTTGAATCTAGAGTAGAAACATGAACTCTGTTGAACTATCGTTTACTTCTGAAATATGCGTTGAGGCTGCTATGTATCACCTTGGTTTTATGTCTACGGGTACTTTATTCCTGAGGATATAGAGGCTCGGTTGTTCAAGTACACACTTTCGATACTTATTAAAATTTATTTTGGCAACCAACCCACCTCGCACCTCCAGCCTAAACACCGTCGTTTGTCTGGGCGCAAACAGACAAACGCCTAATCAGCACCTCTTACCCCTCCCTTTCCCTTCTTTACTCTCCCCCTTGAATCTGATTCGAACTTTATACCTCCCTTCAACGACACGAAGAACATCAACAGGGGCTGTAGTCTAGTGGTTAAGACGCTGCTCTCGCATTATCCTTTCTCTACTTTACCTCTGGGTCCAAGGTTCAGGAAGGATAAAGAAATGTGTACAGCAGAGGCCGCGAGTTCGACTCTCGCCAGCTCCATGGAATACTCTTTTGTTTTGTGAGACAGTGCTTGCTACTGTTTTCTCTTGCTACCTTAAGCAGAACTTATTATAATTCGCTTGCTGACTACCTCTGAGGTTAGCATTATGCGCTTTCCTGTCCTCCTTTACGTTCTCTTTTTTTTTACCCCCTTGCTTGTTGTGATAAAGTACTACTTTCTTCAATTGGTGCAAGTAAGAAAAGGGAGGAACACCAGATCTACCTAGACATATGCTTAAAGTCGTTGAAATGACAGGCAATATCAGACTTTGTCGCTGACGTGTTTGAGAATAGTGTTTGACAGGGGGTTCTTTCATCGAAAGATACAATTTCCACTTGTAACTTAGCATCTCGACTATGGACTTGACAAATGACATAAGAGATGGTAGAATGAGAACAGAACAGTGGATGTGGATCTCCCTTGCAATCAGTCAAGAAAAAGCGAACAGACATAAATTCGAAAGATTGCAAACAAAAGATCCTGCCTACCTTCCAAGTATACATACCCTGTTTGTTAGTACGTATACTCCTACCCAACAATACAACATGCACAAATGACGTCCAATCAACAATCTACTCGGTACTCCGAAAACCGAAAAAAGCCTTCCCCGCCGACCCCACATTTCCAACTCTGAAGTCTCCGCCACCAAAACCACGCACCACCACCACCGGTTCTCGGCCCCGCCCTACCTTATCCTGTCCCGTCTTGCCCTTCCGTCATCGCGTTCTGCACGTCACCAAAAAATTAAGATACCCGATCAATACCAACGAGACGAGCCCGCCCCCACACTGCACTGTCCGACACAATCGACCCGAGAGAGAGAAGAGGGAGAAATACGAGTAGAGCTCAGCTCGATCTCTGCAGTTGTTAAAATCAGCGAAAAGAGTCCGACTTCCGACAACAAAATCAGCGGGAAAGAAGCAGTAAAAGAGCATCACCAAAGAAGAAGCAGCGCAACCACAACCACAACCACAACCACCACTCTCGAAAGAGAAGAACAGAAAAGAGAAGAACAGAAAAGAAGCAAACCAAACGACAATGACATCCCGCAAAACCACAGTCCCACCCTTACTACACCCATACCTCTCTCTACCACCCGAATCCTCACTTCTACTCCTCACAGGTGTATTGAACGCAAGTACGCACTGGTTGAGTGTGAGAGTATTGCTTGGAGCATTGGGAGATGTGTCGAGTCGAAGGAGGAACGGCGGACGAGAGGGGGGGAGTAGACGGGAAGAGCAGGGGAATGGAGAGGGCAAAGATGAGGACAGGAAAGGAGAGGGTAAAGATGAGGAGAGGAAAGGAGGGGGTAAAGATGAGGAAGACGTAGCAGTCGTGCTAGTATCATGGCAACGGGACTTTGAGTTTTGGAAAACAGAGGCCAGACGGGGAGCAGTGAGTCATGTTCCCTCCCGCCAGCCTTCTATGCCACCGAGAGCAAAGGACAAGAGATAAACAGACAAGAGAATGCTGATCAGAACGATAACAGGGACTCGATCTGGCGCGTCTAGCACAGCAAGACAGATTCGCCTTCGTAGACGGACTGACGCATTTACTCTCCCCACCTACATCAACACCAACACCAGCCTCAACACCCGCACAGCCAGCACAAACGTTGCCGCTACGCTCACACCCCGCGGTCCCGATAAGAAATACCGCGGCTCCTACATCCAGGCGCTCAGTACCTCCAGCCTCAACACCAGCCTCAACACCAACACCACCCACCCAACGCTCCCCCTCCGCCAAACTCTCTCCAAAGAACCAGCACACCCTCCACTCCCCCACCCTCTCCCACGCCCAAGACACAATAACCACCGCAATCTCTACCCTCCTTACCCTTAACCCAAACAAGCGCATCCTTCTCCTCCTCGACGCCCCCAGCACGCCCCTCGCGCTTACCCCCACACCCCTCTCGACCCCCCTGCTCCAACTCCTCCTTTCCCTCCGCAGCATGGTGTACGCTACCGTGATAACCCTCGAGACCGATCTCCCCTTCCTTCAACCCTCTGTGCATGCGCTCTCGCAATCCAGGGATACAGGTGAGATGGGTGAGGTGAGTGAGATGGCTGAGGGGAGGATGCAGAGTCCGCTTGCGACTGAGATGGCGAGATTGCTTGTTGGACTTGCGCATCAGGCTAGGTGGGTTGTTGGTGTTAGGGGCTTGGACACGGGGGTTGCGAGGGATGTTAGCGGGGTTGTTAGATGTAGTCGGGGTGGGGCTTGGGATGATGATTTTGATGAGGAAGAGGAGGAGGTGGATGATATGAGACAAGAACAGGCTAAGGAGATTGAAGTGCTACATTTTGTTCAGGGAGATGGTCGAGTCAATGTCTTTGAGAGGGGTGGAGGTGAGATTGGCTAAGGGTAGGTAGAAAGCTATACGCCACTGCACCCGAGCCATTCGTCGCAGCTAAACTACCCTCGCCTATTCTACCTGCATGAAGACCAAAAAGATGAACTCGTTGGCCCTGTCAGCAACACCGAGTATGAATGGAACCCCTCAACTCCCCCTGCTTGCTCAGTCTCCCCGCAGATGCACCCTTCGCCATCCTCAACACCAAACAACCTCCCATATGTACCGCTCAAAGGCCCAGCAAATCTCTGAGCCTGTCCAAATAGTCACCACCTTGGACTGAAGCCTTGGGTTGCTGTCCACCTTCCTCCACATCAACCATGACCTGCTGAATCCTACTTCCCTCGACTGTCTCTGCACCCACACCAACCATGGCTTGGCGTATCTCTTCCTCAACCTCCACTCTTGCTCCATCATCCTGGATCCAACCATCTTGTGCCTGTCCTTGCTCATTTGTCTTGTCATCAGCATCATCACCATCACCAGCTTCATGAATATCATCGTCATCTTCATCCCCTGGCTTGATCACCTGCTCATATGGCGAGCAGACTGAAGACCTAGACGAGATGAGGGATGGAGGTCTAGTGGATTCTTCAGAGCTGAATGGTGTGCTGACGTTGCCAGAGTCCATGACTCGGTAGCCGCTTCCATACCCGTTGGAGTCAGAGAGCTTGAAATCCTGACGAAGTTCCTCCCAGCTCGGGGCCTTTGAATCACTGATTAGATCCGCTCGTTTTGGCACAGCATCCGGCATTCCCACGTTCGACGGTGTAGTACTAGACGCTCTGTCGAACTCTTGAAGTCGAGCTTCCGGGAGGGGAGGAAGCGACAAGCCTGAGAAGTCAGGCGCGAAGTTGGACACGGCAAATTGTCTGCGCTTGGGTGCGCTGATGGTGGCAGGCATTGTGACAAGCTCTCGAGGTGCAGGCGCGTCTCTAGTAGCGATGCGACCCATTTCCTTCTGGAAGAGCCATGGGAAGCTCATGAGAGGCTTCAATCTGTCCTCAACGTCTGAGTCTGAATCATAATTAGAGCTGGAAGACAGCCCTCTCTTTTCAGCGGCCTCAAATTCCTCCTTCGTCACACGGTACATTGCAGCGACAAAGGGAGCAATCTTAGCAAAGTCCTCGACACCAAAGCTTGCTACCTTCTTGTCAATGCCCACCTTCTGCAGGACGACATCGCGGTGATGCTCCTTGAGCAGCCCGACAAGGCGACCCATCTCCTCGGCAAAGACGTAGTCGGTTTTCTCGCGATTGTGCCTCATGACAAAAGCTGTCCAAATCTCCGTCTCCGTCTCCACTCCTTGTTGGGCCATGATCCGACGGATATCCGCGTCATACTCTTTCTTGAGCTCTCTGGCGCTTACCAACATCTCGTCGCTAAGCTCGTACGCGGTCAAGACGCGCTGGTCGAAACAATCGCTATACTGCGGACGGTACTCCTCACGGACGACCTTGTCATAGAGCTGTCCAAGAACTGCCTTGGAGTGATGAATCTTGTCCTTCGGCTTGCCCTTTTTTTCCATCCAATGAGGCCACTTGGGAGGCTGATAGAGATATTCGTCAATCTCGGCAGGGATACCACTTTTGGGAAAGTCGACAGCGATTGAATGCAGCTGGGCAAGGCGTTGGCAATTCTCGTGCTTGACTCCACCAGCTTTGGAGTGCCAATCAGCCCATGCACGGTGCAATGTCGCAACTGTACCAAGGCGGTCGTTCTTGATGTAGTTGATGAAGTTCTCTGTGAGCTGATCTTTCGTAACGACACCAACGCCCATGCGTGGAATCGGAGGGGTAAAGTCCATGGGGGAATAATTCCATCCTGACTCCGGTGGGAACAGGGCCTTGTCCCACATGACAAGATAATCATCTCCATCAAGATCACCTCCAGAGCACATATTTGCCAGATCACGGTCGCCTTTCTGGGGAAGCACGACGACATCCTTGAGATGGAGAAGCTTGCTGCAGAACACTGCCTTGACGACGCGAACATCTCCTGGATGAAGTGACGGGTTGCGGGCCAAGAGGCAAATGCCTTCCTGGGGCTTGTAATTGCCCGTATCGTCCTTGACCTGGATGAATATTTCTGGCAATCCGCCTGCGTCATTCATGCTTAGAGTTTTGGTCTCGTCAGTACAACCGAGGACGAAAGCTCCTTGCTCGGCGGCCATGTGCGCCTTCTCTTTGAGGAACTTCATGCGCCATGCCCGCCAGAGTTGAAGAAGTGACAACACAAATGGCTCCTTCGTCTCCATGAAACCATCCATAATCATCTCAGCCATGGCGACGGTGACCTGGTTGAAATCGACATTCTTCAAGAGTAGGTCAAGAGCTGTCTGGCGATGCGTCATGGCCAGATCAATACGCTTGAGCTCATTGACCATCTTGTCGACGAAGACTTTGTCAGGTACTCCAAGGGACGAGAGAACAAGGATGATTTGCTGGTTCAAGTAGGCCGTCGCATATGAAGACACTCTGATTATCTCCAGGCCCTGTGTATTACTTTCGAATTTCCTCTGGCTCGGACGAAGGGCAACAGTGATGCCTTTAAGTTCTGGGTCGACCGCGAGTACACCCTTGTTACCACCCATGCGGAATTGAAAGACCGAAGGGTAATCTCCAGCAGGACAGTTGATACGGAACT